AATTCTTTTTTCGAAGTATAATGAGTTTTTCGAATAGTTATATAAAATAACCGTGAATTCTTTACTCATTTGTTACTTTAAAACACTTCCTAGTTATATAAAATAACCGTGAATTCTTTACTCATTTGTTACTTTAAAACACTTCCTAGCATGTGAGACACGTATAAAATACTTTAAAACATCTTGACAATCTTTAACTTGGTAAATAAGAGGTGGTGTAATAAGTAAAACATAATGTGTGCATGTATATGGTCCATCAATATTTTCTCCATAAGGTGAGTATGCTCCAAAAATATGCAGGATATGTAGGGATTAAATTGACATTAAACTAAGAAAAGTACATTGTTCTAGTTGAGAGGGTTAGACATAATGACACATGCACGGGAGATTTCAACATCTAGTCATAGGGTTACATGCCTAGCCATTTGATTGCTTTGAAATGTCAAAACTTGGAATTTGAAGAGGATGTTGTAATCCTTAAAACCATTTGGTTGTAATCCTTAAAGTGGACCCATGGGTCATTATCCTGCCATATCGTATGATCATCTTCGGAGGACTAGTTTTCATGCAAGAAATCAGTTTTCATGGTGCGCTAAAGTTTTTATTTACAACATATGGCAATTATTTCGTTAGATTTTAGTTCTCATGCAAGAAATTGAATAAATAGATGTAGACTACAAATAGATTTTCAATTTCTTAGGAAGTGATTCGTACACCGTAGTTTTTTGCCATACACAACAATTCATGCATTATATAGTTGTAAAATACAACATTTCAAAGCATCAGTTGTTGTGTATGGAGAAAAATTGTTGTATACGAATCAACTCCCCTATTAGAAAATTGATGTATGATTATGTCCTCAATAAGTATTAAATGAGTTCATCTGGTCAACAAGTATTAAATGAGTTCATATGGTCAATATTGGAGATAAATATGGTATATAATTAGTTTTATTTAGTTACTTGTATTAGATTATTTTTTACCTTATATATCATCTACATTCATGTTGTATATACTTTAAATCATCTTTCGGTAATATTCATTAGGAACATTTATCCTATCATCACATTGTATCAACCTATATATCGATCACTGAAACAACCCTAACCCTCCTCGTCACTTTCTCTTTCTTTCTGCCTCTCATCTTCTTCATTTGAGAATTCTTTCTCCTCAAACACACTTATCCATATGCTCACCATTAAATTAGCCTCATCTAATCACCTCCTCTGGTGAAATAAAATTACCTCACTTCTTCTTCATCAGAATTGGATGAGTCATATCGATGGTTCTTCTACCGCCCCGCCATCCATAACCCTAATCGACGACAAAGAAACTCCCAACCCATCCCATGATGCTTGGGTCAAACTTGATCACAAGGTTATTTTAATTCTTCAATCCTCTATATCTGAAGAGTCCATGTCCGAAGTCTTGGTTCTCTCTTCCTCTCGTGAAGTATGTGTGGCTTTGGAGTCAGCCTATAGTCATGATTATCATAAGCGATCTCAGAACCTCAAAGATTCTTTACGCCAACTAAAAAAGGGTACCCTCTCTGTCTCTGAATATGCTAAGCAATTTAAATCTATTTGTGATCAACTCCAGGCAATTAGACAATCGGTCTCTGATGATAACAAGAGCCACTGGTTCTTGTGTGGCTTGAGACCAACCTTTGAAACTTTCTTTACTGCTGATCGAGCTTTGCCCACAAGACCTTCTTTTCGTGCTCTTGTTGCTAAGGTGGAAGGCAACGAATTATTTATTTCATCTTTACATGAATCAACTCGCTCTCTAGTTGCTTTCACTGCTGCTCCTTCTCGTGGCCCGTAGGAGAGGGAGGTCTGGTCGTTCAAATTTTCGGGGAAATTCTTCTTCTCATGTTCGTGGTCATCGACCACCAAACTGTCAACTATGTTGAACTGATGGCCATTATGCAAGCTCCTATCCACATTTGAGTACTTATGGTAAAAAATCTCCATATTTTTTGGAGGCAACCTTGTATCTTGGAGTGCTAAGAAGCAACCTACAGTTTCTAGATCCAGTTGTCAATCTGAATATTGGGATATGGCAAACACCGATGCAGAACTTATCTGGATTACTCATCTCTTGCTGACATAAATGTATTGCCCTCTAAATGCCCCACCTTGCTGTGTGACAATTTAAGTGCAATTTTCTTAATTCATAACCTGATAGCACACAAGAGAACTAAACATATTGACATCGATCATCATTTTATTTGAGAGCTTGTTCTATTTGGTAAACTCCATACCAAGTTTGGTCCTACCAACCTTTAAGTGACTGTCATTTTCACAAAACCTTTACCTAAACCACTTTTTGAAGAGTTTCGTGATCAATTACACGTTTGTCCACCACCAGTTCGCTTGAGGGGGGTAATGGAGATAAATTCCGTATATAATTAGTTTTATTTAGTTACCTGTATTATATTATTTTTTACCTTGTATATCGTATACATTCATGTTGTAATTTGTATATATATATATATATATATATATATATATATATATATATATATATATACACACACACACGTTAATCATCTTTCAATAATATTCATTGGGAACATTTATCTCATCATCACAGTCAATTACCAGATGTAATAAATATAGTTGGCTACAATTTTTTATGGGGCCAATTAAAGCACAATAGGATGGTTTCATATTTGTCTTCAATTTCGACTTTTATTATTATATAAAATTAGTTGGCTTTCAATTAGGGGAGGATGTCACCATTATTTTTCATTTTAGTTACATACATAGCAGTTGCTCTATAACGAAATATTTTTCCTTTTTAGTTACATACAGGAAATACAACAAAGCGCGTATGGGAGGTCGATGATAATTTAAGAAGTTCTAAAGCTCCGCGCGCTAAATTTTGACTCAAAAAGTTTTGGAATGGGACGCTTTTTGTCAAAATTTTGATTTTAATCACGGTAAGGAGTTTTAGAGTTAATCTTACAGACACAGTTATGTTGGAAGTTTGGTAGAAACATAGTTTGTAAGCCAATGTTGAGAATATAATATATTGCTTAAAAATAATCCATATGCTTAATATGTAAAACCTGAATTTATTAGGTGATGCATAATGTGGGGTTTTGTTTTTTCATTTTTAAACTATTGTTCTCATTTTATGTCAGCAAGTATGAAAACATTTTTTTTGAAGACAAAAGACATAAATATGTCTTTTTGACACCTCTCACCAGAAGAAAAAAATGTAGGTTATCATTTGGAAAACATCTTATAAGTTATAAGCCTAATCTAATGTTTATATTTCATGTCTCCCTAGTGCCAATCACTCTCTCCTTACCATAGAAAACATCCATCACCCTTCACCACCACACCATCACCTCCATCTTCACCTTAGCCAACTTCACTTCTGTCTTATCTGTTGGTTGTTTCCACTGCCTCTACCTCTATGTCTCCCTCCATCAGGTACTCTAACTTCTCTCTCCTCCACCTGATGGATGATTCGACATTTTGATTCAATATTTCTTGCGTATTAATGCATATATAAACCATAGTTCTCTTTTCAATGCAAAATTCAAAATTTTTATATTTCTTACATGAAATTTTAGTTGAAATATTCTATTAGTTGTATAGTTAGCATGTGTTTGAAGTAGCTTCAATCAATGCGTCTTGTGTGGAAGATTTTTTCAATCATGACATTGTTCTTGATTGAATGGATATTTACCTCTTCAAAAAGACTACAAATATTTTGGAAACAAATAGGGATAACCTTGTCAATAGGTCCAAATTCGGCCAAAATTACCCCCCCCCCCCCCCCAATCCACATCCCACCGCACACACGAATTCACTCATTTTCCAGCCCCTAATTCTGCTTCCAAATTTCAAGATTACCCACCGCTCCAATTTCTACCCCTGTTTTCTCATGAATCCTTCGTTAACCCCGTTTGACCCATAATCTCTTGTTTAATATTATTTACCTTATTTTCACTCGGTTTATTCCGTTTAAACTTACATATTGCATTAATTATTTAAATATAAAACATATATTATACGATGGTTACTCTAAGTTTATTTTTTTTCTTTTTTATAAATAATAATAGCTAAATATAGAGTAATTATTTCTAGACTCCCATGAGGTATACGGAATGGGTCTCCACGCCCAACCTAATCCGTACCTGAAAACATGGTTTAAATATCTCCGTATGAAAACGAAGTCCTGTAGGGTTGGTGTCCCAAAGAGGTTTTTGACACCCTTATAAACAAAAATTAACATCAAATATGATTTGGAAAAAACTTACGGTGCATATATTTTTTTTCTACAAATGTAAAAAACCGAATATACTTTACATCTGAAAAATAGTATTTCTTTTTTAGAAATTTCGATTTCTTTAATGTTTCTCTATCCGGACCGAAAACTTAAATATTTTTAAAGATCCAAGACAAACAAGAAAAAAAGAATCATTATCTTTATTATAATTTTTTTATTTTTAAGTAAAAATATATAATAAAAGAAATTAGGTCATATGAATCAGAAATAAAATTATAGAAACCTACAAAAATTAATCTATTTTTTTTTTTCTATTTTATTAATGGATTCGTTCATATCACAAATTCATGTTTCCGTTTCAACAGTATAATAAAATCAATCTCTTGCTTGAAATTTCTAAAAATAAATTTCATAAAATCATAAAGTATTTTTATTGTGTTATCGATTTTAACACTTGATTATTTTTAAGTAAAAGTTTAAATCGTTATTCTTTTAAATTGTTTAAAGATATTATTTTTTCCAAATTATCAAGTTTTGATATCAAATAAAACACATTTTGGTTTTTATTTTTTTCTCTTTTGTATTTTGTCGTAAGAATGTATGTACTATGAGTATAGACTTTTTTTTTTCCTTAAATATTCTAAAATAATATTTCATCCAAAAAAAAAAAAAAAAAAAAAACAAAAAAACAAAAAGACAACTCATAACACACGCGCTTTGAGTGTGTGGACATGTCAGCACACGCTCGAACATCACGAAAATAAAAATAAAAATAAAAATCACAGCTATCACGCCCCCTCTCTCGCGCGGAAATTTTTGTAGCGAATCGAATCCCGACTTTTTTCCCTCTGCTCCCACGAATCGATCAATCCAACTTCATACTCGAATCTTTGTAACTCATCTTCTCTTTCTTTGATTCTTCATTCCATTTATTGTTGATTTTTCTCTTTTTTTATCTGCATTGCTCTTTGATTAAGGTTTTCATTGCACCTATCGTTATTACGACGTATGAAAAATTAGTATTTGTGTGTCATTCTTTTGAATCTGATGCTTATTTTACTCGATTTTCGTTAGATGTAAGGCAATCGTTTCAGAAGGTTTGATTGCTGATGATTTTGTTTTTGATCTTATAGGATTTTATCGACTATATCATGCTGGAATAGGAGAAGCTGGAAGCTTGACTTTATAAATCTGGATACTGCAAGCGATCAAGGAAATGTCCTGCAATAAGAGTGAGCATGTTCCATTGTCGGTGTTGTTGAAGCGTGAATCGGCGAATCAAAAGGCTGATAGGCCGGAGATTGCTTGTGGTCAGGCTAACGAATCTAAGAAAGGGGAAGACTTCGCATTGATCAAAACTGAATGCCAACGCGTGTTGGGAGATGGTGTTACCACTTATTCTGTCTTTGGGGTATGTTGTCAACCTTTCTCCCCCTTTGATAAAACTTTAATGACTTGTGTCTCTGATGAGGTTGATCAGATTGCAATTACTCTTTTTTCTCTTCTCCTCAATTCACATCTGTTTCATCTCATTGCAGTAGTTGATGGATTTCTTGTAATGCTCCCACCTAACTTCTCTTTTGCAGATATTTGATGGTCATAATGGGTCTGCAGCAGCTATATATACTAAGGAGAACCTTTTGAACAATGTTCTTTGTGCTATTCCTCCCAATCTGAATCGTGATGAATGGGTGGCAGCCTTGCCTAGGGCTATGGTTGCTGGTTTTGTGAAAACAGATAAAGATTTCCAAGAAAAAGGTACATACATTCCTTCAAAAATTTCAACTACCATTATGTCTTGAGACTAGATAGTAATACTTAAGATGCATCTGTATGCAAATTCAGTAAGCACAATCATAATCATGTTGAAATATGTAAGTACTTATTTTGACTTTTAATATTGTTACAATTGCAGCTCAAATGTCAGGGACAACTGTCACATTTGTAATTGTTGAAGGATTAATAGTAACAGTAGCATCAGTTGGGGATTCCCGCTGCATACTTGAATCCGCTGATGGCTCTGTATATTTTCTCTCAGCAGATCACAGACTTGACACCAATGAAGAAGAGTAAGTTCACAAATCTCACTTAATCCATCCCCTTTCTTTCTTTTTGGATTAAATTTTATTCCAAATACATTACAATTTACTTTCTTTATAGGCGGGAACGTGTCACTGCTAGTGGTGGTGAAGTTGGTCGCCTAAATACCGGTGGTGGCACAGAGGTATCTTAAAATCTTATATATATATATATATATATATATATATATATATATATATATATATATATATATATATATATATATATATATATATATATATATATATTTTAGGATCTTACTTAACTTACGAATGTTTTTATATTTATGACAGATTGGTCCTTTAAGATGTTGGCCAGGTGGGTTGTGCCTTTCAAGATCTATTGGAGATAGAGATGTTGGGGAGTTCATTGTTCCAGTTCCTCATGTTAAACAAGTGAAGGTTAGTTTTGTAATTAAACTCAATTTCTTTTTCTTTTTATTTATTTTGTGATCTTCAGCTATCTTCTGCTGGAGGGCGGCTTGTAATCTCAAGTGATGGAGTCTGGGATGCTCTTTCCGCCGAATCAGCTCTGGAATGCAGTCGCGGATTGGCTCCGGAATCAGCAGCAGCTCATATTGTCAAAGTACGGAAACAGAAAAAAAAATGTCAAAATTTTAATTAAATATTAATATTCAGTTTTTGTTTCCAACAATCTTTGGTTTTTAATGTGCAGGAAGCAGTACAAGCCAAAGGGCTACGAGACGATACAACCTGCATAGTGGTGGATGTACTACCGCCGGAAAAGACAAATCCGCCCTTGCCACCGCCAAAGATGACCGGAAAAAGAGTTTTAAAGGCCATGTTTAGGAAAAAGAGCAGTGAGGCTCCACCTCATGTTGATGAAGAGGAATATTATGAACCGGATTTAGTGGAGGAGCTTGTGGAGGAAGGATCCGCCATGCTTTCTCAACGGTTTGTATACACTCCAACAACATCTTTAACATTTTCTATACATGTAAGGGTAAAATGGTCATTTACTCACTCGTTTGTTTTGTACATGGTTTTCACAGGTTAGACACGAAATATCCGCTTTGTAACATTTTCAGATTATTTATCTGTGCTGTGTGTCAAATTGAAATGAAGCCTGGAGAAGGAATTTCAATACACCATGGATCGGCTAATATGAGCGGAAAGTCAAAACCATGGGATGGACCTTTTCTCTGTGTGAACTGCCAATACAAAAAAGATGCCATGGAAGGGAAAATATCATCAAAAAGTAAGATTGTGTTTGTTTGACTGACTAACTGAAAAGCTAGCTGGTAGCTGATATACTTTTTTTACAGGAAGGTGATTAGAATTACGGTTGTACCCTTTACGATTGTTTCGGAGTGAAGGATAGATGTGAAGACGAAAAAGATTGTTGAGATGAGTTCTTTTTTTCTATCTCAAGGGGAATTATTCAGTTATTGACTTATAACATTTGAAAAAAAAAAAAAAAATTACTTATTAGTAGAGAGATATAATCTTTCTCCGACTTCTCTAACAATGCATAGAGCTAACATTGTTTGTACTATATTTTATAAAGATTGTAGTTGTTAATGTTATACTCTTAGGTTATTTACTCGTAACATTGTACTACGAAATTAAGATGGTTGTATTTAAAGTAAAAGACTATTTATGCTCTTGTGACTTGAGAGTGGTTACAATTGTCAATTGGCATGTTGATGATGAGCTGGATAATAATACCCAAAATAGAGAAAATATTATTTAAACTTCAATTGGATATCTTATTTATTGTTTTTAATTATTGTGAATGCAAGTATGAGGGACCAACAAAAGAAAGTTTTTTAAAGTTAGGGTTTAGGATGAAAGGCTTGAATGATTGCCCCTCAATCATGTTTTGATCAAGGGGGGTACTCGTTCGTACCATTTTAATTTACTTTATTTTGTGGATAAATAATGATTACTATAAATAAAATAAGGCTTAATAAAAAAAATACCAAAATGAGAGATGTAGTCTCATTGATGATCGATCGTCTTTATAATATTTATTATGAAACATTCATTTTGTAAAAACATTTATCCTAGATTATATAATTTAAGTTGCCGGTTCAAAAAAAAAAAAAAAAAAAATCCTAGATGTAAAGTTGTGAGGATGAATATAATTTCACAATCAACATTTTCAATCTATAACGTCACACACACATGTACAAAAGTGAATACAATATTTAAAGTTTTCTATAAGTTATAGGGTTAATATTATAAGAATTTATATTTTAAAAATAACCCTCACAAATTTTCAATTCTTTTTGTTCTGGTCATTTTAGCAAGTTGGCATTAATTTTCCGGTAGTTGATGATTTTATTTTTCGAAAATTTCTTAACTTTCTTTTTTATTTTTAAAAACTCTTATATTTCGGTAATTGATATGTGCATATTTAGTTATATATTTTGTGTAGAATCTTAATACTTTTTGGCTATTTTATTTCAATTAATAAACAAAATGTACTTAATTATGTGTAAATTATATTTTCAACCTAAAAGACATGCTTGAAAGCAAAAGGAAGCGGGAAATGCAATCGGAAGTTTGGGAATTGAAGAACGAAGAAAAAGAGTCAAAAACCGGATGTACTCGGCGAGTCAGACACCTACTCATCGAGTAGGCACGAACCTTCACGAACCTATGAGTACCTTACCGTGTACGGATTATAAGTGAGGGACTCGGCGAGTCGGAAGACACGATTATATTCTCTTTCCTTAATCTAGTGTTTACATCATGTTTGAATCATTAGGTTTAGTTTATGATACGTTTTCTGCTATGAATATGAGCTAAAAACTCGTTTCTTCTGTTTAGGGTAGACAAACGTATAACTATGGTTTGAATTTTATGGCTTGGATTGTTTAATTTGGTGAATTTTGTTTTGTTAAACTTGTTAAAGACCCTCATGTGTTGCCAATAACTATTTTCTGTTAATTATCAAGTATATTAAGTTGCATAAACATCTCTTGATTGCTTGTCTCATTTAATTTATGTGAAAACAATGTTATATGCCTAGGAATAGTGAACATGAAATTAGGGGTTAACTAGAAAATAGGTAAATCAATGTGTCAGCTTGTGTGACGAACAACCATACAAGAAGTGAATTGAATTAGTAATTTAATTAGCTAACTACGAGTCTTACTTAACACGAATCAATAAACTAGGAAACTCATTAATTTAACCAATTTGCCACTGTTTGAATTGATTTGTTTTCTAAGGATTAGTAATAGTGAATATGAACCTAATCACGTTAATCGGTAGCCAATGAAAAAATAATCCATTACACTTGCCATAAAATCAACCATAGGAATAAGTAAGTTGAACCCGAACAGAAGTCTCCTTTATTATTGAATTTAGTTGATTTTTATTTATTTTAGCTGCTAATTGTTTTGTTTGAGTGTTAGTTAAGTGTTTAAGTTTCTAATCTTGCAAAACTAAAGAAAACCTCTTTTCTTTTATTATTTGTTTTTTTAGATAATTCTAGTAGTTAGTTTAATTACCGTTCCGTGTGTTCGATACCTTACTTGCTTAACTATACCACCAATTAACAGTACACTGTCTTTTGTGTGTCTAAATTATATTTAAAAAGTGGGATTAAAACTAGTGCATTTAACACACATCAAGTTTTTGACGCTATTGTCGGGGAACGGTTTAAAAATAATTTTTAATTGCTAGTGTTATCGATCATTTGTGTGAGATCTATTTCTCTTCTTATCCTCGAACCTTTCGGTCCCTCGTGATTTGACTTCTCTTTTTGTACTTTTAGTATAATAAGGTGAGTGCTAAAGTGCTACAAGAAACTTTGTAGAAGAAATATTCAACGACGAAGTTCTGACCATGGAGTTCTAAGTTTTTGTTAGAAACCATGTAACTTGAGTTGTGTAGCTTATGTTTAAGTTCATTATTGTTATTATGAACCTATAAACAAGATTTATCAGTGATTACAAGTCGTTGTAATGATTGATCTACTTACGGGGATGATGAGAATGCTAAATTTAGTGAGGAGTTTAAAGTGAGTTTTCCAAATGGTATACTATGTATGCCGAATGGACCCTACATCCGATATGATATTACTTGGTTGTCCCTTATCAGTTATAGATTTGTAGACTTTGAATTAATGATGAATCTAGACTAATAATTAGCCACAATAAATATTAGACTAAGATTTAGTGATAATGATACTAGGTTACGTTAAAGGAAAATACAATTGCTAGAAGCGAAGCGCTGTCCGAATTTCAAGTCATCACTTTAACAAGTGAGTGCATAGTTACTTTTTGTTACATCCCCATTTTAACGGTCAGAAAAGACCGATTTGTTTATGCTTTATAAAAATCAGAGTACCTCTTTTAATAAAAATGTTGCGGAATTTGTTCTTAGTAAAACATGATAAATACGTTATCAATGCATTTCCGAAGAAAAGTATTTTATTCATTTTAAAAGATTTGGGATGTCATCGTCAATATAGAAACATAAGCATAAACAGAACTTACATTCATTATCACTAGTGATTTATATCTCCTTAATCTCTTAGTGTAATGTGACATCATATCAACACCTGTGATATAAATAAACTGAATGTCTTAGGTTGGGAAAACTGGTAAGTACATAGGGTCTTCAACCCACAATAATATAATTATTATGTTTAATCATCAAACAATTAACCCAATTACCCATCTTCATTATCTTCTTTACTCTTAAGGATTTACCCTAATAATTAGCTATTCCTCGTTCATTCTTTCCTAAGGATTATCCTAAGGAATAGGTATAAAATCCATCGTTGCTAGGGTTTTCTCAACAGGCACTAAATCCATAGCTACCAGGGTTATCTCGTTTATAGACAATATTGTTTCCGAGAATCCACTCGCAATACATGTCAATGGGTTTTTAGAGTACACCGGTAAATACATCGTTCACAACACCTATAGGTTGCAAGCCTGCTAGTGTTCCACTGGACTATCTAGAATAGTCCATAGTTGTCATCCATACTCTTTTAGACGACGGGGCCATCGCTTGGGGAATCGCTTAACTCATCGTTTTGCTCATCGCTTCTCACCATATTTTACCACTTATATATCATCGCTCATCATTCATCTCCTCTCTCATCGCTCATCATCTATCTCATCTTTAATCTACCCATGTTCTACCCAACACATTTTGTAGATATAAAATACGTATACAGTTTAAATCATTTAAATTATATATAAAATCGTTGATTCAGCATAAACAGAAAGTATTCATGTAATATGCATACATAGCACGTAGTTTGTATAGAATACTTCATATCTATGTGTAAGATGAAAGTAACTATGCACTCACCTGATAAAGTGGTGATTTCAAACTCAGACAACGCTTCGTTACTCTTGAAGCAATTTCCTTCCTCAAAACCTAGTATCATTACAACTAGGGTTTAGTCTATCATTCACCGAGACTAATTAATAGTCTAGCTATAATTACTATTATATAAGCATTAAACAATACTTATATAACCCATAATAATAGCCCAAGTACTTATTCTAAGGTCCTAATAACATTACTATAATTATTTAAAAGCTATATTAAAATTTGCGTAGGCGTAGCTCACTTACAACGGGTTTTAAAGAAAACCGAACTTTGCTTGGAGCAGCTTTTCGAAACCGAAAGACCCTTTTTCTCAAGACTCCGAGAACCTCGGGGCTTCCTTCGGGTGCTAGGGGTTCACTTGGGCTTTAGGGGGAGGGGGGGGGGTTTAGAAACCCTAGAGAGAGAAAGAAACTAGAGAGAGAATGAAGACAAGTGTGAGAAATCCGAGAAAATTCATCCCTTTATATAGGCCTCGGCCTCGGACGAACGTTGCGCGTTCAGCAGCTCTACGTGGGGTGTAGCTCGGATCAGGTCGACAGATGGCGCGTCTTCGGTGGGGCGACGTGGAGCTCCCGAGAACGCGAGGTGTCTAATCTGCATATGCGAGGCGTACTCGTATGCTGGGCGTCCGAGAGCCAGGTGTCCGAATCCGAAGCGAGTACCCTGATCATCAACATAGGGTTGGGATCGCGCCACATTATCACTCTTGCCACAGACTTCACAAATTCGAGTACCAACTTCAAAAATTCGTATCTTTCACATACGAGCTCCGTTTTCGACGTTCTTTATATCCACGGGTAAACGGGAACGTACTTTACAACTTTTGTTTAGACTCTGTTGGCTAATTTTGACTTTATTTTTAATCTTATAGTTTTAACAGGCCAGGACAAGATTGGTCTGTTAAAAATCCATAACTTCTTCATCCAACATCCGTTTTCGCCTATCTTTGTATCGTTACGCTACTATTATTGAGATCTTGGATTCTCATTTTGTTCGTGTCGGCTAAATACCGCTTGTTCTAATATTTGAACTTCAGGTTGTACACTACTAAGCCGAAACTTCGAAAATCATAACTTCCTCATACGAAGTCAGATTTGGACGTTCTTTTTTTGGATGCTCTTAGGTTAAAATGTTCTACGACTTTCATTTAGATTACTAAGGCTAAAATTCGCTCTATCATCAACTCACCATTTACATCTTCCCA